CGATTTTCTTTCCAAATAACACCTGTTTACTGTAATGATTGCTACAACACTCATGATTCATGCTTTCATTAGCATTGTACTAAATACCATTTCACTAATAATTATTCTAGCAATCAGCGTGACGAATGTGTATGTGGCGAACCATTTTTGTTTTGAACAACAGATCAAGTTGTTTTGCATTTTCAGGTAGTTCCGCACAGTCATTACTTGCCGTTTCTGCATGCAAAACTTATTCTAAACAGTGTGACTGATACAAACGAACGAAACAATAAACTGAAGCATCATTCGGGCGATTTGATCCGTTGGTCCGTAGGTCGTGAAATACTCTGATTATTGTTACGCATAGCCGAATAAATTGACGCTGAACGAATGGCCGTTTTTAAGAAGCTGAGAAAATCGAAAGATAAACATCATCAAAACGCTGCTGCAGCATTGCCTGAACCTGAGCCTGTGAGGCAACTCGACAAACGAGTTGGTTTAGAGACATATCGTGATTTTTTCACGTTGAAGAACTACTGGAAAGCCGTCGATCGACGACGAGTGGACGCTGGCAATCAACTTTTATACAGGTGAGTGAGTGGTGGTGGTGCTCGTTCGATCCTTGATCTACTCCATGTTATTGATCGTTCAGTAGAAGAGTTAAATTTGAGTTCATCAAGTGTAACTGGTCATCATTTGAAGGTCTTTGAAACCTGTTGATCTTGTCATCGCAAAATGCACCACATTCATCACTCTCCCATAATTTGTCACCTTAGTCTGATGTTCTTGTCTATTCTCACACACTATCTTATGGGCTCGTAGTGTCAGTATCNAGAATCATCGATAAATTTTTAGAAATGCTTGTGTACGGAAGCTGATACATTCTGAGTGTATTGCTGCATGTTATCGCGTGCTTTCACTGCTGATTATGATGGCGAATTTGTCTAAGCTCACTTCATCATCAACAAATGAGTACTTATTGAATGACGATAGATTTGAGTTTTTGATCGAATTGAGCACTGCAAGTTGAATAGATTACCTTTGGCTGGCCTCAATACGCTATGTTACGCCTAGTGTTTAGCCTAAAGCAATTGCTTTTCGAGCGGAAGGCTGGCTCATTTGAAATGTCTCGAAAACATCATGCCTCCTCAACTCAATCAACTTCACCGTTCAGCGCCCACTTCTTGTTATTGTTGACTGGAAAGGAACAACTTTCGAAATTCGTTTGCATTCACCGCAAATCCATTAGGAACGATTGATTGATTGATTGATTGATTCGTGTGAATGACGCGAGCAATTAAGAGGGATTGTTAGAGGAACGAAAACGGAGTTTTTATGAGATGATCTGAAGAGAAACAGAAATGAGTATTGTTTTAAAGTTCTTCAGTGAACGTCGACTAAAATGGCCAACAAATTTCGTTCGTATGGCGAATTCCCATATGGGGTCGCAACAAAAAACGAAAACAATTTTCATGCTTCATTAAGATTCTTTTGTTAGTGTTGGCTGCGGCTGCTGCCTTGTTATTGTTAGTAAATTGCAACTTCAAAACATTTATTCACCTACCCAGTCAGTCAGCCGGCCAGCCACTATCCACTCAATTAGACATTTGCCTTGAACGGACAATGATGTGATGGAGAATGAAAGCATGAAATGAAGCAACTTTATTCAGCTGGAGCGAAATGTTTTTGAGCGAAATGTTTTTTGAGTTGTACTAGATTGTCAATAGCAATGGTGAACACCAATTGCTTTTAGAAGTTACAGCTGCACATGCGATACAGTGCACTTGAAATTGCACTAAATAGTTTTATTGTGCAATTCACAGAATGAATTTCATTGATATGGCGATGAGTTTTCATTGGTGCTGAGTGTTGTGATAGAGGATTGTGATAGAGTGTGTGATAGAGGATTCAAGCATTTTCGGGGTTGCAATTGGATGTGTCAAAATGCAGTGCTTTGAGGAGCGAAATCGCGTTGCTCCTCAGTTCGACACTTAAGTGTGTGGCTATTTTTGTGCTCAGTAATGAATTAAAGTACGTCGTCACAAGCCAACGTACTCGAATCCTATTCACGCTACTATCGTCAAGTAATTAGCACTGTTGTGGAATGCCAAATGTCAATGTGTGCCATTATTCATAACCCTCAAAATCACTCATCGCAATATCTCATAGATCTCGGTGCTATCGATCCGCTATCGATCCACCATTGAAGCATACGAAAATATCAGTTGTGATGGCGTATTATGAATTGTGAAACGGCATAGAATTGCATTAATTCAGAATTGCCATTCATATTCTGATACTATGCAATGACGTACCATTGAATACGTCATTGCCCGGTGGGAATGCCTGCATTCTATTTCGGTTAATCGCACGTTGGTTTGCCAAGAATTCCGAAACATTGTATTACTATCACATCAATTTTGCCGTGTTCTTTTGTGCTCGAACTTATGAATTGAGCTAATGAATACGATTGTGTTTGAATATGGCAAAGATATTTTTAGAATGCAGCTGGGTTTAATCATTAAAAAGAATGCATTTCCTCAGCTACTACAATCCTATTTGAAATCATATTATTGACGTCATCAGCAACAAAGTAATCACTGAAAAACCATTGTCTTTTCTCGAGTTATTTTTAAATAAGTAATAAGATTTTTGATGATATAGTAAACTGAATATATAATATAAGAATTTGCTAATTGTAAGCTATACATTCATGCGCTTAATCAGCGATAACTTCAGTGAAAATTGATGATTTTCGTATCATTCGCTTGTTTAATGATCAGTCAACCATTTGCATATATGATTTCTCTGGAGATCAGCTAACAGGATGAAGCGATGATAGTCACACATTAAACGCATAATGATACCGTAGAGAATAGGGAAAATTTATGAGGATCATAAATAAACTGCGAATTAGATAATGAATCTTTTCGAGCTCGTTAAATCATCACAAAAAAAAAAACAGTTGTTGTAAACTGTTCACGTGCAATTCGGCATCTGCGATTGGTCTGAAAGAAGTTAGGAATGCTTTGAACTGAAGTAAACTTCTGATTAACATGAGAATGTAAACACTTTAGCCGCACCTGTAGATTATGAATGAGATTCCATTGCATGCTCAAGTGAGCCAGTATGTCAACTGAAACATTTCTGCATCAGACTGACCATGATGTGATCACGTCTGTCCCTATCAACATACGCCATGTTCCATGTGAACATTTTGATGATTCTGAATCATAACTGTTTCCGAATCATGAAAGCTTGCAACTAGTTCCAATAGNNNNTGATAACGATCTTCCATTATTCATTGAAAACGTTTGATTGGTGTAGATGCTGACGTGCTTTCACGAGGAATTCACGTTTTATGGGCTCCGACTGAGAGAAACTAGATGCGATGCTACTCAATAAGCTCGGTGCAAGTGTTATTAATTGAAAACTCATTTGCACAGCAATTCATCATTTATGATCTGATAGATCGTAATTGCTATTTGATTATCATGAAATTGTATGGAGAGGGTGCGATTTGAATCCATATCATTCAGTGAATCATCTTAAAATGCCATCTAAAAGAATACCATCTAAACATTGTAGTTGAGATCATTCTGGAATGCCCTTTTCCAGATGGCTGAGCTATTTTGATAAGCCCGCTGACTCACTCAATGAACATCAAATTTGTATTATAGTCAACTAATTCTCTATTGTCTAATTGGAATCATTCATCTGATTAAACATCTGCTCAAACAATGAAAAAAGTTGAAAGTGAGTGTATTCAAGCTGAGTCACATCGGGTCGAATTACTCGAATCGGACGCTAAATTGAATTTGAAGTGTGCCATTGATATTGTGTATTTCGAGCATTCTGAAATGCATTTTTTTTCTGAAATTCATTTTTTTGTAGTATCAATGGAATGAGTAGAGATGTTTTGAGATGATGCGAGTTGATGATGACATCGAAGAGAAATGACGACAAAAAAGTGACGCATCTTGATTGGTTGTGATAGTGTCGCATGACAACGATGATACAATGACTGTTGATTAATCGCTGCATGACTAGCAAATGACAGTTGTGCTTCTCACGGACTACAAGCAAACCAACGAGGAATTAATTGGATTCAGTTGAAGTTCAGTGACGAAAGAGGCTTTGCGATAGCCAAAGTTAATACGGATGTGAATAAAAATGCCTGAAATGAATGACGTTTTTTTATCATTTGCGCATACATCCGTAAACTGTGCTCACACGAACTCATATCCATTCCTTTGTGAGATTCTCAAGCGAATTGAAGAGTGATGACGTACAAGTGTGATAATACAACGTGTGCGGGACATTCAGTTCATAAGACCATAATGTAATTAGGATATGAGATTTCAAAGGTGTATATATAGGAATGAAAATCAGGGTTTGATAATGCATAAGCATGCAAAGGTATTAGTCGGTAAGGTGGATATGGTGAATAGATAATGCTCAGTATGGTGGATAGATATCTAATCTACAATTACGTTTTGTCTTATTGATTGCGATGAATCAATTCACTTCGAACGGTTTAGGTCGGTGAGAAAATTTTCACTCAACGTTTACGTAGTGAAAAAGGAGTGAGTATGATAAATAAGTTAAACGGTAGATGGCATACGGACGACGGACGTATTTCTTTATCGCTAATTTTGCCAAGCGTTGTCATGGTATTGCGAATTCAGCCGATTCCTTGTGTCCGTCCATAACAAGAAGTGTGAATGAATGAAACAGGTGAAAGCCATCAAACGAACACATTTCTTAATGTAAGTGGCTTACTATCGGATGCATTCAGCCACAATAAAACTGCATTAACGACACCCTTTAATCATCACTATCATTTATCATCCACGTTACTATCATTATCACATCGTTCATTTGACTTCGTCTCAAATGTATTATCACCTTTTAACGAGAAAATTCATTTCGTTTTATTGCGCCTGCCATTGTTTTTACGCATATTGTGGCATTCAACTTTCAAATAATCATTAGCTCCATTATTGTTTTCTTTTCTTTAGATTTTATTTTTCGATTCCGCTAGAAAAGTTTTTGCAATCTCAACCGGGAAACAGCCATAAGAATGATTGATGTTACGAAATTTGAATTGGATAGTTGTTTTTTTTTTTGAGGATTATTGTTTACCATTAGATGCCCAAATGTCTACTGATAAATCGGGTTTCATATTCAGCTGCTGCTGTTCTGATATTGCTTTGAATTTGTCAAGATTGGGTTCACGGTCAATTCGGACTCGTATTCGATAGAATCCTTCGGTGTCAATTTGATGTTGTAGAAGAATATTCCATTTCACGTGATTTGAACGCGAACGTAACTCGTAACGTAATAATCTTCTTGGGATTATTGAATCAAATTTGTCTATGATCATTTAGTGAAGAGCATTTGATGGTAACTGAGCAGCTGTTATTTGATTACTGTTCACTACTCACTTCACTCAAACTCTGTGTGCGATGAACGTGAGATTCAGCAAGCAGAACTTGTGAACGTGTTAACTTTGGCTCGTTTCTACGACGGATGATTGGTGAATCGCATGAAAACAGCGCTGAAATCGAATGATTGACTCAATAAAATGGGATCTGGGAGTAGTGCACAAGCTCCTCGTAAGCGACAAAGCAAGTCGCCAGCACCACCGCCTCCCGAGGAGTCCAGTGAACCAAAATGCGATCCTCGACTACCGTATCCGAACTTTCGTGAGTTATTCACACTGAAAAACTATTGGAAAACCGTACGGCGTAACGAGAAAGAATGCGGCAAAATGATTATGGTGAAGTAGGTGATTCCAAATAACGTTATTGTCCTTATTATTATCGTCATGAATGTTCATGGTTCATTGCCGTCTACTTTTTGATCACTTGCAGTTTGCAATCTTTTTGCATCGAACAACATGAAAAAATCAGCTTATCACTTTAAAGTAGGATATTGAGTTCCTCAAGAAAGCGATGAGATCGAATGATTGACTGAATAAAATGGGATCTCGCTGAATGAACTGATCACTCATTTGATGTGTACTTGTTGAAGGTACTCGTTCATCGTTTGATGTAGTTTGAAGATACACTTCAAACTGCAACTTAATGTCAGCGTGAATGTCTTTGCATTGCATTGTCTGTCACCTTGCTATGGCTTCACATCAGCATTGCACTCAAATATACTTCTCTCTATGTTATATCAACTTCAGTGCACATAAACAATGAAAATTGTTCTCTGCAAAGTTTCGGCTTAAGTAATTTCCTTCGAATGCAGTTCTGTTGTTAACAGTTAGCAGGAAAACGCATACTTTTCACATGTTATTTGCTCAATACCTTCCGTCACATATGTCTACATGAGGAGCGTATAAAATGAACAAAAAACATCCATGCAGCTGAGAATGTAACGGGGTTATGTAATCAGTCCGGATTTCTTCTGATCGATTTTGAATGATCCTTGACAATGCTTCAGTCGATTTGATCGGCATGATCGAAGGCAACTGATCGATCAA